GCAAAAATATATATATATATATATATAAATATAAATATGTATAAAATAAAAAGAAAAAGAGAGAAATAAGATGAAGAAAGATAGGGGAGAAAAAAATTGGGTATGAACGAAAGATGGAAAGTCAGAAAGAGAGAGAAAGATAGACTAGGGTCGTTAAAGAGTGAGGGAGGTAGGAAATATCGTACCGGTGAATGAACGAGACTTGAACGAGGTTGAATTCACTAACCTGCCAGTCCGCAGAGTCCGGAAACCAAGTAGCAACTGACGATGAGAGGTGGCAGTGCTGAAGCGAGCATACAAGCCTCCACCACCTTCGGTACCATCATTCCACCCTCCACTACCTCACCCCCTTTGAAATACGACCGCCTCCACATTTACCACCACATCTTTTCTCTCTCTCTCTCACTCTCACTCACTCACTCACTCACTCTTATTCTCTTATTCTCTCTCTCTCTCTCTCTCTCTCTCTCTTTCTTTCTCTTTTATACTTTACCCCACCACACACGAAACAACCACCACAACAAATTCAACTTACACCCCCCTCCATTTTACTATAACCCTCTGGTTCTCTCCCCTCTTTCTACCCCCGTTCTCCTATCATTCTCAATTCCTTTTATTTCATTCAGCCCTTTCTCAGAGACTACCGACTTATTCGCCCCACCTATTCCTTCTCTTTCACCCTATTACACCTACACACACATCTCATCCCCTCCTTTCTTACTACCCTTATCTCTTTCTCTCTCTTTCTTTCTGTTTTTTCCCTCCTTTGACCCTCTTTCTATATATTCTTACTTTCTTTTCTTTTTAACTTCTCTTTTCCTTTACCCTCGTCTTACTACCAACGAATTTTTTTCTACCCTTATCCTTCTCCTTCTCCTTCTCCCTTTTTGTCCTTTCCTTTCCTTTCCCTTCGTGTCTCGAAAATCTTCCTTCAAATCTACCGGAAAACTGCTACTACCCCTTATCGTCAATGATGTAAACGACAATTTCGAAGACCCTCAATCTGAAAGGAAACACTCCCTTATAAATTAGAAAAACGTCTATATTCATTGTATCTTTAATGAAAATAAAAAAAAGAACAAAAATAGCAAAGCCACTCTTTCAAATAAGATTTTCAATGGGATTGATTTTGTTTTTATCAATGGACGATTTAATATGAATAAAAGATGGGAATTTTGATTTTAAACGGAAATCGTTTAGGGTTTGTTGATTTTTTTTTCTTCTTCTTCTTCTTCTTCTTCTTGTCTATCCTATGTATCCCGTTGACGTTTAATTGTAAGAATGTAATTTGATGTGAAAAGGGTAAGGAGGGAGAAAAAAAGAAAAAAAAAAAAAAGAAACAAAAGGGGAGAGAAATAAAAAATATCTTTCAATTTATCGCTAGGTTATTTCGAAGTGATCAAACGGTTATTTTTGGAAAGGAAATAAAAGAGAAAAGATCGAAAAATTCTGGTCGACTGAATGAGGTTTCGTATTCGTTCAAATGACGTAACTATGGAAGAGAGAAAAATGAGAGGGTGGAAAAGAGAGAGCAACAGAGGGATGGAGAAATTTCGTTCTCTTCGTAAATATGATTGAAAGGGTAAAGTTCCTTTTACTTCAATTTTATTCGCACGAAATATTATTAGAAATTTTAAACGGACGATTTATATATATATAATAAAGAAAATATATTAAAAATGAAATAAAATCAATTCGATATTAAAGGAAAATAAAATGAAAATCTTAAGAGAGAGAGAGAAAAGAAAAAAGAGGGATAAAAATAATTGGAATATTTCGCGACGTGTTAAATGGAAAAAAAAAATGTAATTTTCTTCGGTAACGGATTTGACGTGTTACGGTCTCATATCGATAAATTATAATGGAATAAAACTGTCAATGGGATATTCTCATCGATGAAAATAAAAAAGAGAACGAGAAATTATGAAATAAAAAAAGAAAAAAAAGCACAAAAAAAAAAGAATTGAGAAACGAAACCAACTTAAATGTATAAATATATTTATACGCGGGCTAATGCAATTGCATTCTCTTTCACATCGCAAATGTAATTTAAAAAAGAACTTTTTTTATCTAACCGAGAAAAGAAAAGAGAGAGAAAACAAGAGAAATTAATTACGACACTTTTGTGTGTGTGTCTCTCTCTCTCTCTCTCTCTCTTTCATTCATTTAGAAATATTTTTAATTATTTATTTCAAAGTGATATAAACAGGGTGTAAACGTTATTACCAATCAGAGTTTTTCTCTTGTAAATATATTACTAATAATCAGCTTTGAAATTAATATTAAAATTGTTTCTCGTTAAAGTAGAAGTAATAAAGAAATGATAATAAATACCAATATTATCTGATTTTTATCTAAAATAAAATAATACTTGCAAATAGATTGGTATAAAATATTCGAAATATTTTTTTGTATTTCTGACCTTGCATGACCTTGCAGGTCACTGTGCAGTATATGAACGAATTCGTCTTGACCCACGTTTTCGTGTGGTATAAAAGAATATAGAACATTGGATTTAAACTAAATCGAATCTTACAATTTATTTCTAATCAATAAATGTTAACACATCAAAAAATTGCTATCATGTTTCATTTAAAAAAAAAACAATACTATTTCTTAACCCCTTATCATTTTTTTTTTAATATTTTTAATAACACGAACACACCCTATATATATATAACATAATCGTGTGGTGTTTAAAAACGAGACAATTTAAAATGAATTTTGATTCAAATGAATATTTTAATTTGGAAAATATTTGTCAATGTATTGACACATTTTTAGAGAAATTTTACAGAAAAAAAAAATAATGAAAAATGAAAGAATAAAAAAAGAAAAAAAAAGAAAAGAAAAGAAAAGAAAAGAAAAGGAATGACCTTTACCTAGAACTAATAAATTCTAGTTCCAACAGACCCTCTTCTCTTCTTTTCGATATATCTCCGTATGCAAATAATTTCAACGACCACCCACGCTCAAAGTCTCACGTGAATACGGCTTTTCCACCAAAAACGTTTGCCTTCGCATATACGTATACATATATATATATATATATATATATAAGATGAGATCTTCCTATCACCAGAGAGTACAATTTTCAAATCAATTGATTCGAGACAGCGACGAGGTCATCGAAATAACAAACGCGTCGTTCTAACATTATCGTAACATTTATCGGTTTCTATCGATAGTACGATTCATTTACTTATAGATAAAGATCTCTACTCACCCCCATTGTGTTCTTATTGATGATCCTTCAAACGAATTCTTATCATTCTAAATTGCCAATATTTTTCATAACGTTTGCAAATAAAATAATAATAAGAAAAAAGAGGAAGAAGAAGAAGAAGAAGAAGAAGAAGAAGAGGAATAAGAAGAAGAATGAACAAGTACAATATAATATATAAAAATATACGTGACGATACAATTGAAAATTACATCACAAATTTAACAAGAAATATCAAATAAAAGGGGTATCCATCCCATCCACGTATAAAGCGTGGGTACAATGAAAAGGAATCATGAATGAAAATTTCAAAGAGGGAAAGAGACAGAATGACAGAGAAACAGAGACAGTGAGAGTGACAGAGAGAGAGAGAGAGAGAGAAAATGAGAGGAAGGGGGAAACGGGGTATGAAAGGTAGATTGAGGGAAACTAATTTTCATGTGTATGATATATCGATGATAATTGTGTGTGAAAAGCAAAGTGTTCATGAATGAAGTGTAATGCGGCTGAATAGGTCGATAGAGCAACTCTCCCCGCCACCGTAGTCGTGCAAAGATCAGCAAGCAGCAGGCGTAGTAATCAATATAGGGGGACGGGGTAGACATGGCACTGTGGGAACGGGAACGGGAACGGGAATGGGAACGGGAATGGGAACGGGAACGGGAACGGGAACGAGAACGGCCAAGTCCATTCAGAGAAGCTGTAGGCCTTACTATTGATTGTGTGGGTGGCGAAAGGGATATCCCCACCCTTGGACCATTCAGCAATAACATTGGGGTAGCGAGGGTTGGTAAGGGAAGGGAGTCGAACGAACCATCAGGGATAGTCGGGGCGACGAAGCGTAGGTGGTTGGAACGAAGGTGAATATCTCGCTCTCGCGATTTTTAAACCACCATCAATAAGAAAAACGACTCTTTCTCGTTTTCTAGAAGTTGCATAAGAGAGAGAGAGAGAGAGAGAGAGAGAGAGAGAGAAAAGAAAATAAAAGTAAAGAAAAGAAAAGAAAAAGCAAAAAGAAACTTCTTACTTTTTCACCCTTCTTTTCTATTTGTTTTTTTCTTTTTCTTAGTATCTTAATTGTTCAAACGCAGACTTACAACAATAAATCAGGATACCCTCGAGAGAACGTTTTTAAAAGCGATCTATTCGACGATCTGTCGTCCATCTTTGACTGTGCTCCCCTTGAATTTCCTGTAGTTAGTAGATATACGTAAACGTATATATATATATATATATGTATAATTTGTTAGATACCAGTGTTCCTTTAGATACTCGAGTAATCACCTCGTATTCTTCTTACTGACCGTCTACTATGGCCGTCTACTATAATTTAGCGAGATATACCAAATTAAGAGATACCTACGCAATTAACTTGATAATATATTCGTGTTACGTCATTCTACGTGATAGGATTCAATAGAGAGTATGAACATTTTTGACCTCGATCTCATTCTTTAAAATCATCTTTATCATTTTTATTTTTTCTTTTTTTCTTTTTCTTCTCTCTCCAGAGATCTACATTACCCATCGGTCTCTCTCTCCTTCGAATTTAATCATGAATTTTAATTGCTCTTTATATTTAATCCTTTATTATAATAATGAAGATCGAATTACACGAAATAAATTGATTATAATCAATTTATATTCGAGAGCGTTTGTATATAATTATATTATTATAGAATGTAACGAAAAGATTAATCTTAATCGATTGGATATTCGATAGTATTATCAACGTATCGTATTATCCATGTTATATTGGAAATAGTATCGATTTTCTGGATACCATCTCATACCGAATAATAATTCCTATATAATATACTAAAGTTTTATCTCAAATTAATACAAAATTTAAATGGATGAGATTAGAAAACTTTATAAGAACAAAATAAGCTTATATTCTTAAATCAATATAACATATATATTTATATAAAATTAGTTATTATTTTCAAAATAGTTATCAATTATTTAATAATTCATGTAAAACAAAAGTCTTTATCTTATACCTGAATATTTTTATGTAATCCTGCACACAAGATTTTCATAGGATATTCACTAAATGAACATTGGAGAAGTTGAAATGTGAGTTTTTTAATATCTGGTTTAGAATGTTAATGAAATATGCATATATGTAACAGAACTATATTGCCAGTTCGCGTAAGTGAAAGAGTCAACGATGAAATGAGATAAAAAAAGTTAGTTTGTCCTTTATGCGCATGCTATTATGCGTAAAATTGTATGCGCAAGATTGCATGCGCAAACTGTTGTACGCAAGATTTTGTGCGCAAGATTTTCTACGCAAATTGTTCTGCGCAAGATTTTGTGCGCAAGATTTTCTACGCAAATTGTTATGCGCATAATTAGCGGTTTAATATGAAATTGAATTATGTAATCGTATAGACATATATAAGAATAGCATTTTTGTTTTTTTTTTATTAAAAAAATTACGTACAGAGTCCTCTGATATATATATAAAGTATGATATCATCTGTATAGTGACATTTTTAATGCAATTATAATATTATATAGTATTATTATGCACAATGACACATGTCATGGCGGCTACGATTTGATTGGATGCTACTGACAATAAGTATGATCGTATAATTTTAAATGCATACAATATAAAGATCGATAAAAATGATATAAAATATTACAAATATCTTTGTTTATAAATTATTTCATACGAATAACTTTTATTTTTAAGTAAAAAACCAACTTATTTATTACATGCGTTTCTATTGGTTGGTTCCTGTATGTTCATAGAAATAATGCATTTCTATTCTGATTGGTTTGTTTCGCGATCGTTGTAGACTGTGACTTAAATATATATATATATATACATGTATATATGTATATGTATATTAAAGAGATAAAATAAATAATTCGGACGAAGTACACAGAAGATATAAACTATTTTTAAGTAGATTAAAATTGATTGAGTTGACAATTATAATCGTTTTAGATTAAATTTAATTTAGAGAGAAAAAAAAATAATAAAGGATCAGTAATCGTATCCTATTTCTAATTGGTTCTTCGTTGTTCTTCCTGCTAATTTTTACTAAGTTCACTATTATAGCCAGTGCTTGTACTTGGAGAAAAATGGCTGCTAGACAAAACAGTGGAGAAAACAAGAATTAAATCGAATTGAAGGTCGCTAGTGATGGTCAAACGTATCATGTTGTAGTTTTTCAATATAGTAATGTTGTTCTAACATATCCACAAGCGTAATAAAAAATTTGAACAATTATAAAAATTTCCAAGAACTCAATAAGTGATTAATAGATCTCATCGAGAAATTGTAAATGGAAGGGTGATAGTCACGATTGCGAAGCAACAAATTCTACGACCTTCGGCAATTAGTATGTGTAATGTGCAATAGTTTGTCTGTGTTGAATGCGTCGTATATATAAGCGTTATTTGAAAAAATTGTCAAAAATTCGTAAGAAACTAAAAGTTCATCATTCAAAATGACTATTTTATCGAAGAAGAAAACGAATGCATCAAAAGACAGACGTGAAGGAAGTAATAATTCCGAAGTCGACGTTCATGGAGTACAAAATGAACATAATCCTGCCTCAATTGCTTTACCAAACACACCATATCAGGTATTAAAGATGATAACGTTTATATATTGTTTTTAAAATTTTTTTTTCTTTTTTTTTTTTTTTATGTCGCATATCAACCACCATAAAAAATATCTGTGCCCTATGATTTCTTTTTTTTTCTTCTGTTAAATAACAGGTGCGTGGAGCTAATGGATTTGCTGTTGATCTTCATGCCGTACAGGGTGATCATGGTTCTGGTCCTATCGTTCTTAGTAATGGCTCATATGAGGTGAGAAGAAGTGGAAAGTTTATTGATGACAAATTGCTACATTCAATCTATTGTATTATCCTCAGTTACATTTAAAACCAAAAAAGTTGAGTAAGCAATAAGTGTATGTAAATACAAGAATTACAAACTTATATTCTGTGATTCTTTATCGAAATAATTCTGTTTTCATTTAGTTAGAAGGGTTTTCGATAATATATTATAATAAGTATTAAAATAATGTAAGAAAATCTTTATTATTATAGGCAACAGTAGATCGACGAGAGGAAAAGCATTTTGAAGATTCAAGCGGACCAAGCCATGGCAAACGTCATCGACAAAGGGCTAGTCCTCATAGGTAGTTAATATCAAACAACATTTACATTAATTGCAATTTATTTGATTATATTTTGTCAATAAAATTAAACTTTATTTTCTAGCAGCTGCATTGGAAGAAGTTCACGTTCCAAGAGAGAACGCGAAAGGGATAGGGGTCGAGAAAGAGAAAGGGAAAGAGACAGGGAAAGGCAAGCAACACCACCTGCAGCTTCGTGTAGTGGTTTACAAGGTAGATGAGATTATATTTAGTTGTATATTATTTTTTAAATATATTTTATAATAAAATTGTATACAATTCAATATAGGTTCAGATGGTGCTGTTATAAGCAACAATCGAATGAGTATTGTTGGTAGTGCATCAAATTTAGATGAACTTGCTAACGGTTATAATAGCGGAGATGAATATACTGGACGAACTGGAAATAATCTTACGTTAGCAGAATGGCAAGAGGTAGAATTCTAATAAACAATATACATAAATGTACCTACAATTAAATATTTTTTCATTTCAAGCGCGACAAATGGTTTGAAAAGCGTATGCGGAAAATGGGATTTATTGTGAAAAAGATGGGAGAAGATGGAGCATGTTTATTTAGAGCTGTTGCTGATCAAGTATATGGCGACCAAGAGATGCATGGAATTGTACGAAAACATTGCATGGATTACATTGTAAGTACTATTGTCAATGTTTTGTTATAGAATCGAGTGGATTTATTCTTTTGTAAATTCAAAATCTCTTTGATATTATGTTTCAGGCTTCCAATCAAGAATTTTTCTCTCACTTTGTAGCTGAAGATTTTACTACGTATGTTGATAGAAAAAGGCAGGAATATGTGCATGGAAACCATATAGAAATGCAAGCTATGTCTGAAATGTATAATCGTAGTATACAACTGTATTGTTATAGCACCGGTATTACGCATCATTTGTTTTATATTTGATTAATAAGTATTGAAAAATAGTATTTCTTATTATTTTAATATGTTATATTATAGAACCCATTAATATTTTCCATACGATGGTAAAGAGTGACAATGAACCGATACGATTGTCATACCAACGTGGCAGTCATTATAACAGTATAGTAGATCCATATAAAGCTACTATCGGTGTTGGATTAGGTTTACCATCATTCAATCCTGGTTCTGCAGATCGAGAACTTATATCGGATGCAGTCCGGCAAAGTGAAGAATTGCACATTGAGCAGGTAAATTGAATTAGTCTTTTATCCAGGATAAAAATAATGAAATCTTTTTATACCTCATAAGAACACATATGCTGTTTTGAAACAGACAATGCTTGAAGATAAAATAAAAGCTACTGATTGGGAAGCAACTAATGAAGCAATAGAAGAACAAGTGGCTAGAGAAAGTTATTTGCAATGGTTACGAGATAATGAAATGCGTAAAGCAGTGAGTACAGTATACCATATGAACCATAAAAATGTATTATAATAGTCTTAAAGCTTTCCATTAATCATATTATAAAAAAAGAAATTTGTCATTTGCTCATTAACAATAGAATAATTTAACATGTATATATATAAACATGAAGAGTTTTCAAACAATATTAACTTAACATATTTTAAATTCAGCGGTCAGCAAGTAGCAGCAGTACTAGTACTGTTACAAGTGCCCAACACAGCCATGCACATTTTCATTCCCATGGAAATCGCGGACAACAACGCAGTCATACTTCTTCTCCAACTACTACTCAGACTAGCCAGGATTCTATGCGCAATTCTCCAAAGGTTCAGATTTTTATTATATAAGAATTAGTTATTTTAAAATGAAGTAAAATAGAAATAAATATAAAAAGAATTAAATACATTTACAGGTCTCAGATAATGTATGGTATAAAAGGTCTCCACAACATCAATCCCCTCAAGGTTCTAATATTACTCATCTTCCGCCATCAGATTTTAAAGAAAAAATAATGCCACAAGAACCTGTACCAGGAAGTAGTAAGGAAGCACACACATCGCCTGATATTTCGCTGTTTAATCGTCTTCCTCCGGAAGTATTTGGTAAAATTAATATTTCAATTGAAATATATGTTGAAATTGTAATAATATATTCTAGTTATCTAATTAAATAACAAATAATAACATGGTGATACACATGTTACAGGTTTGACAGATTGGGAAGATAGCGATATTCTTTCCAAAGTATTAGCAACATCGCAGCAGGAATATTTGGATAGTTTGAAGCAATCATGTACATCAGAAAATAACATTAACATGATACACGAATCTAACAATAGTTAATTTCTGTATAAGAGATTCGGTATAGTGAAGAGAAAATTGTAATATGTCAGAGAATATATATTTATATATATATATATATATATATACATATATATATGTATTGCAGTATCATCTAATCTCCATTAATGCTAGGGTGTAAGGTGGTTTCCTTTTCTTTCGTTGGAGTGTATTATAAAATCGAAATTTGTTTTTATGTTCTCTATCCCAATTCTTTTATCAAATAATTGTGTTAGTTAAGAACATATACGATGAACGTTACATACACGTTTTCCTTAATTAAAAAAAAAAAAATGTTATTTTAAATAACATTTACACATCACAACATACACACGCACACACATACACATAAATATATTTCCATTAGAAATCGTTTTCGTTGCAAAACAAACTAACTAACAAAATATAGAAAAGAAATAGAAGAAAAAAAAAGAAATGTAACAATCAAAAATCATTGCATTAGCAAAAGTGTTAAACAGTCGATTGCAGTAGTTGTCATTTTTCATGGATGCTTTATCCATTTTACGTTATTGCTGTTACTATTATCTTCTTTTTTTGTCATCTTAAATCATATTTCTCATGGATAGAAAAAAATAAAAAAATAAAAAAATATTCTTTGATAATCGTGAAAAACATTCTCTTGTTATAATATAATAGGTCAAAATGCTTCAGAAAAAAATCATGATCGTATTATTTGTAAGAAAAAAAGTAAATAAAAAATCTATTATCTAATAATATATCCGTCTTATACGATTTTTCCTATTGTAATTTATCGAACACATTCGAAGTTTTCATATATAATATTTTAAAATACAAGTAGAGATGGTAGATTATACTAAACAAATATATATATATATATATATATATATATAAAAAAGCATATATAAGTAAATATTAAGTGTCCTCTGCCTTTATCGTATTGTCATTAATGTATTTTAGTGTATATAAGAGAGTACTTTTAGTGTAAATAATCACATTTTTCTGTAAACAATTACCACTGAGTTATGAACTATGAATACAATTTTACAAATTTATACGTCGTTTATTAAACTTAACTTCATATATCATTCCTAAATATCAATTATTAATAATTAAGAAAACGTATACGTTTATAGAAATGAATAATTCTATCAAAGAATATAAGTTTGAAGCTGTATTGGGTAAAGGAATGTTTGGGTAAGAAAAATATTCATTTTTATTAATTAGTCATTTCTTAGAATATGATATATGTGTCTGTGTGCCGATAGAACTGTTCATCTAGTTAGACGAACAAGGGATTTGAAACCGTTTGTTATAAAAGAGCAAAATTTAAGCGTCGAAACTAATTTATCTTTTAAAGTAAGTTTACATATATTTTAATTATACTCTTATATTTGATTTAAATTCATCAAATGACATTACGTATGTTTTATAGATGGTCCTGAGAGAAGTAGAATATTTGCAAAAGATGAGACATCCAAACATTGTTGCTTATCATGCGGCTTGGATCGAAAATAATAAAAGTTACATTCTTATGGAATACGCTACTCGTGGTACTTTGAAAGAATTATTAGAAAAACTTAGTGTACCGCTTGTGGAAGAGGTAATAAATACTTTCCTTTTTTTTTTTTTTAATAATAAATTAATGTAAAAATTATAAGTTACTATAAAAATGGAGAGTATTATTATTTTCATAGAATGCACTGTACTTATTTTCGCAAATAACTCTTGGAGTTCATCACATACATACCAAGAAAATTCTTCATAGAGATTTGAAACCTGAAAATATTTTATTGACTGGACGCAAAGGAGATATTGTTAAGATTACTGACTTTGGTGTTTCTAAAAATATACTAGAGTAAGATTTATCATATTTTTTACTAAAAATTTTTCAAGATATTAGATAATTTAATGCAATATTAATCCTTTGAGCACTCTTGTCTGCTTTTATGATAAACCTACTAGCAAATTTCAACTTGTCTACTAAAATGAAGAAACTTGTAATTCTCATAGAGTTCTTAAGTCCTATATACTTTGATCTGCATATGAGTACACTTTATATTATGAATTTCTCCATAGTGTGATATAGTATGTAAAGGATTAATATTATTTTTTTTTATACTTTAGGGAGTCCATGTGTTGTGCTGGATCTTATTGCTACATGGCTCCAGAAATGCTTTCGTGTCAACCGTACGATTTAAAATCGGACATATGGAGCATGGGTGTTATTCTTTACGAAATGGTGACTAAGCAGCTTCCATTCCCTACATCTGTAATTATTACAATTAATTACTTAATTAATATTTTGAAGTAGCAATAATAACTTTAAATGATCAATCATAATTTTAGGATCTAGCTGAGATTACAAGAATGGTGTGCAATAAAAAACCAAAACCATTTAATAAGAAAATTTCAATCTCGACAATACGGTTGATATCGAAAATGTTAAGGAAACAAGCAATTTATCGTCCGAAAACCGATCAATTAATACTTTGTCCGTATTTGGTTCCATTCATTGCACGTGTTTATTTAAATCTCGGCAGAATTCAATATAATTATCGTAGGGGTAAAGAAAACTTTGATCCTCAAATTTTTCAATATTTTTTCAAAACTCAACATTGACATATACTCGTTCATAACTTTTATCGATTAACTATTTTTATTATTATGTAATTTGATTTCTATAGAAAAAAAAAAAAAAAAATAAAGAGAACTTTTACTATTTGTGTCGAATAAAATTTTGCTTTATTTTGTATATTTTTTATTTACTTAACGAACAATGCAATATACCAGAGTTATGCATTTTAATCTAAAAATCTTTATATGTACGTTTGTAAAAATACGTTTTACAGTTATGGTCACAGATGGTTTATTTTTATACGATTGTGAAATGTCGGTAGAACATGAAAAGCATTTTATTGTTCGCCGAATGACTGTTAAGTTCGGACATAGTATTAAAGGGAGAAGAGTAACAACAACAGGAAGTAAAGGCCGGAACTCTGGAGAGTTAATTTCATTTGACTATACCCGCGCTTAGGAAGTGAGTTCTTCAATTGTAGTATTTCAGTTCACACCTTGCCAACTAGAATTACTGTCCCTCGTCGCGAATTAGTATTTTAATTTTGCACAAAATAAAATTTTAATTTGTTTTGCCATGAAAATAAACGATAAATTTGTTTTGATACTCATCAATTAATTATGAATTATTAAAAAATCTATCTCAAAGTATTGGAATTAAAATATTAAACGTATGTGTTATAAAATAATAAATCTGTTTAAATTTTCAACATGCAATTATCCGTTATACTATTTGTATATTATCTATGTCGATGTTCGTGGGTAATGAGTTTATCAATTGATTCATATACGACGAATATCACTACGGAAATACCGACGTACGACACTCTGGAATCTGAAGATTTGAACAAAGAAACTCAGTATTTTTTAAATCCTATCTATCGTGATCTCGATCCTTCGAATGACGTCGAACGTATTGATCTTCAACAATGGCCAGGAAGATCCACTGTTCTTTTACATCGTAATGATGTTCCTTCCACTACTAATGTAAAACAGAATAAGTTTGTCAACTTTAGTGTACCCTTGCAACAAAATTCAACCAGGTATGTGTACTATATATAATAATAATAATAAAGATAATTAATAGATTTTTGAAACACTGATAATAAAAAAGTTATTTTCATTATCAGATATCCAAGATTTAGTATACCACTCTCAATCGCAATGATAGACGAACTTTTTTGCGATTTTGGTCCACTTCCATCGTTGTCTCTCTGCGAGTGGCAAAATGGTAGTGATTCATTAGACTGGATGGCAGGATCTGGTTTAGGAACTAATTGGTTTGGTGGACCACCATCGGATTCTACTACTAGTACAATGGAAGGAGGGTCCGTGTCTATAATTATCAAAGAAGTATTAAAATATTAGAATATATATATTTAAATATAAAAATCTTGTAATTATTTTTAAAATTGTCATTAATGGAATAATTATTTAGATATGCTTTTGTGGAAACATCGCAAATACCATCGAAAAGTATAACAGGCAAAAGTTCTGGAGCTCGATTACACAGTCCTCAATTAGGAAGTACTGGTGTTTCAGGAACTTGCATTATGTTTAAATACTCACTGGATGGTCTTAGCGTAGCAGGATTAAGAGTACTCTTGCATTTGGGTTTTGATGAGTACTCCATTAGAAAAGAACCAGAAGATGCAATTACATTTCAAAATGTTACCGTACCACCTTGTAAGCCCGCTAAGACGGAAAGCGAACGTGTGATCTGGCATGCTCAGTATTATGACCTTGAAATGTGGCAGCAAGCTCAGATACTTTACACGTATCCAGATGTACATTCGGTAAAGAAATTTATTCAAATGTTAATCGATAATTTCTTCTGAATCATTTACTGATTTTACCATTAATTTGTAGTTAATCATTGAAGCAGTACCTGTTGATTCAACTGATCCATCCCGTCTCTTTCGAGGATATGTAGCGATCGATGATATCGATCTCCAACCTGGAACTTCCTGCGTAGGATTTTGTAACTTTGCAGGTGGATTCTGTGATTGGAACAACGATGCAGAAGACGATTTTGACTGGACAATAGTACGTTTTAATAGAATATTTATTATCATCGAAAAATCAAAAGATTTAATCATTTAGTTGTATTGTTTTCAGAGTCGAGGTAGCATAAATCCAGCGACTGGTCCAGCTATGGATAGCTCCAGTGATCGAGCTACGGCTGGTGGTTATGCCTATATCAATTCTAGATTTCCGCGTAGACCTGGTGATACAGCAAGATTAATCAGTACCAGTTTCCCAGCTACCAATCCAGATGCTCCGATTTGTATACATTTTTGGTTTCATATGTTCGGTACAGGAATTGGTAATTTGAAACTTTACTTACGTCACTTTCGTGATCTCGATGCAATGTTACAAGAAATTTGGGGATTAAGCGGGAACGCTGGTAACGCTTGGTACATGTCTCAAATAACTATTGGATCTTTGGATGACTATCAATTAATTTTCGAAGCATCTGTAGGAAATACTGGTATGGGTGATATCGCTATAGATGACATTACGTTTACTCATGGTGCTTGTCCTGGTAAGATCTCATACCAATGAAAAGAAATCATGTTCCTAAAAATAAGTGCAATTAATATATTATTCTTTCTATTGATTTCGTATAGTGTATCCACAAGTAGCAGCAACAATATCAAGAGATTGTACTTTTGAAGTAGACGAATGTGATTGGATCAATACCAGAGATCCGGATCGTGTCGAATGGGAAAGAGTTTCTACTCAAATATTAAGTCCTAGAAATCAACGTAAACCGTACAGTAATGGAAATACTGGCACCAGACACAATGAATTTTTTTTAACACTTGGCAAATCTCGTAGTGGATCTTTTGGTGGTGGTACTGCTCAACTCGTTAGTCGTGAAATGAGTGGTTCTGCTAATCCATTGTGTATTACATTTTGGTATATCATGTTCGAGTCCTTTATTGATTCCACCGGACCAAGCTTAGGTGTTCTTCGTTTATACATACAATCTAATGATGAGTCACCAGCAGAGCCCAAACCTATCTGGCAATTATACAATGACCAAGGTCCTACCTGGAATTACGCACAAGTAAATATTAATGAAAGAAAAAACTTTAATATCTATTTTGAAGGTATATGGGGTCCGAATAGAGCAAATGGTATTATTGGTATTGATGACATATCTTTTTACATTGGAAACTGTACTGGTAAACATTAATCAAAAAATTGTATAAATTTGATACAAACAAATATTATAAAGTACATAAGAATGAAGTAACAAATTGTTTTAGTAAGACCACCTGCTGCTTCTGTCAGAAATGAGGATTGTAGTTTCGAAAAAGGAATATGTGGGTGGGAAAACATTACTCTTTCAAATAATGATCGGTCTGTTACTTGGCAACGAGCATTTCTTACTCACCGACCAGCTCAGCTCTTAGATAAAACGTTTGGGACTACAGGCGATTATATTTTTTTTGATATATACACACCTGATAAAAAATCCACTGAGGTACAATTACGTTCTCCAATTATTAACACACCTGCTGATGAAGAGTCCACTTGTTTCACATTTTGGTTTGCTGCTTTCGGCGTTGAAGAGTCTACGATGTTACAAATTATTAGAACGTCTGATGTTGAAGATGCAAATGGTGGTAATGATGAAAATGGTAACGATGAAATATTGGTATGTAATGATTCTATATTTTCTTTTGTTACTTTGTTATAATTTCTTTTTTCTTGTTTACTTTGGTCTTAACATTTCTATATTCACACATATGATTTATATTAATTTAACATTGAAATCATTTTTCTTTAGTTATGGTCATTAACAGCAAAGGGATTTAATAATCCAAGACCAGTATGGATGGCAGCGCAAGTAACAATTGATGGACGTTTACCGTATCGTCTTATTCTGAAGGGCAGTGCTAGTAATGGTGGCTTTGCTATCGATGACATTAAATTTCAACCTCGTGTTTGTCCAAGTAAAATTATTTTAAAATTTAAATATATCATAATATATTTAATTTTAATTTCATTAATTCAAATTATTTTTAAATATTTTAGCTCGACCACCAGAAGCTCATCCACAATTAAACTCAAATAAGATGTAATAAATTAATTACTAAAATGATATTCATAATAAAAATCTTACAATAAAATAATATACAATTGAAAAATCGAACTTTTTTTTTTTATAAATAAAATAAATAATAATTTTCTATATACACACACACACATATGCAAATTTGATGACATTGAAATGAAAATCATTTATTAAATTAAAAAGATATAGATTGAAAGTCAATAGAATTATGAAAAATATATAGTAGTATTGTGTGAAAGAACACGTCTGTGATTAACAGAATATAATTAACTTTGTATAGGATTATGTTATTAATGGCGTTAATGACAATAACTAGAGACATCAAAATATAACGATTTATTCGCAACTTTAATAGCTTTTTTTTCAGTATAAAGACCTAAAATATTCTATAGGTGAAAATACTAAATATTAATTTAATAGGTACTATTTTTGTTGTTGTATCACAGATGCGCCGTGACACATAACGCAGTCATACATCACCTCTTTGTCAAGTAACTAGTAGGTAACTCGCGAATGATATTTATTTAAAAATTAAATTCGATTCAGACAATCAATTACAAGGCGAGAATAGAATTTCTTTTATAGATAAAATGATAAATAATATTTTATCATTAAAATATGGTATCATCCTTAGAGGTGAGAAGATACTTTAGTAAATTATTGATAAATTGGTTCATCTGTACATTATCACATATTGAATTATCATTAAAAATATATGACTACCAAATATAATTGTTCTTGCCAAGAAGATAGTATGAAGAAAGGTGCAATAATAAATAATTACATCTTTTCCTTTAACGATAATTCAATATTATAAAATTCTTCAATTTGATATAATAATAGTAATAGTAATATATACGAAGGCCTTTTGTGTACTTTCTTAATATAATATACAGATTCATTGTTTCAAATGATTAACAATAATAATGCCACACTTACGACTTATTTAACGTACTCTTTTTCTCTCTTCTCTTTCTCTTTCTCTTTCTTGCCGTTATAATAAAATAGATAATAAGAATAACGAAGATGAGTTTAAAAAGTTTCAATTTCACGCATCATCTGGAGATTTCTGGAGCTTTAAATTTATCTGGACGGAAGCTATCTTCCCGAATTAATTTAAATATGCGAATATATGTACGTGAGATATCACAGGTTTAATTCTTTGCCAAATTTTAGCAAAATGTTCTACGAATAAATGTTCACAAAACAATTTACTTAATTTTAACTTGAAAAACTTGAGACACCTAATACATATATATGTATACAACTACAGTAGAATAATTTATATAAATGTATAAATAGTAATTTCAGTAATGAAACTTAATGTACAATGCCTTCAATTTTGAAATATTATTTCAAAATTCTTTGATCATTCATAAAAATGATCCGCAGTTAGTGTGCTTGTTTGACTTCAAGCAATTGCGGATAATTTTCAACGATATTTAATAAAATCCCATCGATATATGCTCTTAATTGAGCATTGACTTCCTGTTGTTCTTTTAAAGCCTGTTTCAGCTGAAACATATAATAATGTTTTAAATAAATAAATAAATAAATATATTTATGAAATAGAAGAATAAAAATATTTACACATACTTCCGAAATACTATATGGCGATTCATATTCATCAATAGGATGACCATCCATCTACAATAAGAAATAAATTTGTAAATCATTACTCGGTATAATTTACAACATTATAACAAATTAAATAATGATATATGTACCTGATCCTGACTCATACCAGCCAATAACTCGGCTGCTAGACTCGGTCCTTTCTCGCTTCCATTATTACAAGGACTTAACATTAAAAGTTCTCGGCCTGCTTGTACAGCGGCAGCAGCTTGCAACTCGTCTCGTGCTTCTTCCAGACCTATTGATAAATATATATTAATGTAATATATATTAAATAATAATAATAATAATAAAAGAAAAAAAAGAGCAACATACTTTTGTTACGTGCTTGAAGATGAACCACCTGTTGTTCAAGTTCTTCGACTCTCTGTTGATTATCAGCTCTAATTATAAGTTCTTCTTTGGCCACTTGAAGCATATGATGAGCTTCATTGGCTCTAGCAACTGCTTGCTTTTCGTTTTCTCTGGCAGTATTTATTTCGCTTTGAGAATCCTTAAGTTCTATCTCAAGCCGAGTTTTGTCATTTTTAAATCTTTCAAGTTGCTCTCTTAATCTTCCTATTTCATCCCTTAAAGTAGAACTTTCTAAATCGATTGATTGTAACTTAATAGCATAATTTTCTAATTGTAATTGTTTTTCTCGTTCCAAACGACTGGCCAATTCTCTATGCCTTCGTTGTTCAGCCTAAAATAAAATAAAAGAACAGTTTTATTTTTTTGATTTATAAATATATAGAATATAGATCACAGAAAAGAAAAATAAAGATCATATCGAACAAACCTGCAATCGTTCTTCTGCTCTAGTTTCAGCATCTTTCGCAGCTTCTTCTAAAATCAATATTCTCGCTTGTAAGGTTGCATTTTCTTGTTTAACTCTTGCGTATCTTTCTTCGCCGACCGATTGGGTATCGGCCAATACGTTCATTTGCTCTTGAATCATTTGGACCTATAATATAAAATAATATTAATAATATTTATACTTATATTTAATATATATATATATAAATGTGTTTATTTTTTAAATGGAATATAATAAGTATATATATTATATACTTTTTAAAAATAAATAAAAAATAATAATAATATAGTATTATGTACAAATATATATACATATTAAGAAACATTATTTATTAGTTTAATTTTTCTCATATAATTAAAACATAAATGTTACGCAAACGGAAACTATATTCTAAATAAAATATTCAAGACGCAAAGAACATTCCACCTAAAGGCGTTGCACTTATGCATTCTCGCTAGTTAAGAAGACTCATGTGGTTAGAATACCAAATGTGGATATCCGTAGGTTTTTCAACTTACTATTCTTATCAATGACAATTAAAAAAAGAAAGGAAAAAAAAAAGAACGTAAGACGTATTTCCTGCGAATTGGCATCTTTACAGTAAAATTCTACGAACGCGTACATTCTAAAATTACTTAACAATAAGAAAATCATTTTGGTGCCATATTCAAAATATACAAACACGAATAATAACGTCTTATATTTGACATGTATTGCAACCTTGACTTAGAGATGAACATTATAACCACATGAATTAAACATCATTCGTTCTATCAATGATTTATAAATATATGTATATATAACATAATCTTTTCTAAATATAGATATCTATAATATATATATATATATAATAACCTTGCAATGTTTAACCAAAAACCAAATATATTAGAAGCCGAGTTAACGCAGCTATCCGATTATCTAAAAGCTTGGGGGGAATACCAATAAGAAAATAAAACCTATCATTAAAAAGGTTTCTTTGAAATAATTAAATCCAAGAAAAATTAAAGTAAAAAAAAAAAAACGAAAGAAGAAAAAGAAAAGAAAACAGAATACTACAGATATAAATAATTGAATCAACAAAAATTGTGTACTTGGCAATATACCAAAAAATACGTCAGTAGTTTTCAACGAAAAGAAGATTGAAATACAATACAACACCAAGTATAGAATGAAACTGTAAATAGAACAATTCATAAAGGATCAATAGAAAAAGATGAGAAGAAAAGTATTATGAATAAAAGAAAGATATAAAATTGGTGATAAGGGATGATATGTTCGTATGATTAAAAAGCATACTTGTCCTGTAAGAGAAGGAACGCGTCGTCTAGTTGTCGTCCTAGTAACACGGGGCACCTGGCCGACAAATTGAAATTGTCCCTCCCAAAGGTCGTATTCTAAACCCGCACCTGGTCCGGAGGGTGGTCCCTCCCCAAAAGTGTTAGAAACACATCGATAATCAATCGATTCTAAATCATCGTCGTCGTCGTCGTCATTCAATCGTCGAGATTCCATTTCTTATTCTATTATTATTTAACAATCTATATCTTTGTGTCTCTTTCTCTATATATATAAATATATATATTTTATTTCTTTTTTAAACAAAAATCAAGTCACGTCATCGACATAATCTTTGTTCTCAATGATCTATCATCAACATTTTTCTGACTGACGACGACGACGTCGACGAGGAGGAGAACGACGACGACGACGAGGATGACAAATACAAGACGCATAACACGCGCCATAAATTGACGATGATGATAATAAACCATAATCTGTCTATCTCGGTCCCACTCACACGATCACGAACATAACCTCTTAAACGATACAACTAACGTAGCGATTATAATTCGCTTTTACCACTTTGGTATACTTTGATTTAATAATAATAATAATAATAATATTAATAATAATGAAACAAGACAATTAAACAAGATGATCGAATAATAATAATAAGAAGAAAAAAAGAAAAAAAAAAAAAATGGAAATGCAACGCACACTTCACGTCTTCCAACGCTGCGCACTTCAAATACATTCGACTTCCTCGTGTCGCGCGTTTTCGACTCCCGATCGTTGGCCGGGAATAACCGAACGATTGCGAACGATTCTATTTGTGTTCTTCTGTTGCTTTCCACACACACTAACTCCTCACAGATGATAACTTCCAGGGGATGCATATATGTGTGTGTGTTTGTATGTATATATGTAACCGCGTGAGCGGTGCATTTAAGCTAATAATACGTGTTTTAAGGTATATACAACTCTATATACGATATATACGTATATATATATATCAATATATATACGGTATCATGTATATATAAGTTCTATATACATATACACATATGTATCTATATGTGTTACATTGCATAGCTCAACGCCCACCCCCTTACAAATTCGATGCGCGCGAGTAGGTAAAATACATCCTACTCGAAGAAAAAAGAAAGAGAAGAGAAATTTCTCACATACTACTACTACTTCTTTTTCTTACATACGTGCTATCCTTTTTAGATTTGCATTTGCATTTTTCTTGTTCTTTTTTTGCTGTAGCTTTTTCGTATTCACTGTGTGTGCATCCATCTCTTTCGAATTCTCTTTCTCTGATTCTTTCTTTTTCTTTCTTTTTACGTTTTACTCGTGTATGTATTATGTGTATTCCATGAAAGGTATATATATATATACATATATGTAATTTTAACTATGATTATCTCTTTTATACGTGGGTGAATTCTTGGGACAAGGGATGGGCGGATTAGGAAGTTAACGTGGGTCTATATAAGTGTTTCGAGGTCACATATTCTGACTTGCCTTATGCGAAAATAGATAGAACGTTCTCCTCACTAGATTTCCTGCCGATTTTATGCGTATGCACACTGTTATGCATTTACGTGCGAAATTACGTTGGTGCGAAAATACGAAAGATAGAACTATGGTCGCCATATTGGTTTGAGCATATATAAACGTAGACTCTATCGATTGATGTTGTTGTTATTATTATTAATATTATTATTAGTATTATCATTATTATTAGTATTATTATACCCAGATACGAAGTATATCTTTTGTATTTTGGTAAAAATAATAAATATAATAACATAAATATATATATATATATTTATGTTATTATATTAATTGTAAGAGAGAGAGAGAGAGTACAATATATCTGTACCTTTTTTTTATTTTAGTTGAAAATAATCATTAAAATGATTATGAGATTGTTTTATCGAACGAATTCACTGAAAAATTTGATTGAATCAATTGAATATTATAATCCCTTATTTTCATCCCTGTCTATTACTCCACTCTTTGTAAGTTTTATATCCGACGTAAATTATCACTACTGCAATCACCACAAAACTCACGAAGGACCATCCAACCCAACCAACTATACCGGTGCATGACGTTTTAGCACAGGCCATTCCTCGCTACTCCAACTTTTTAATCGGATTTAACATAGAGGATCGATGAACAACTGTCCTTAATTATCGATTAACATATTCTTACGAATAAATTTTGATAGAATTTTCCTTTATACAGAATTTTATCGATCACTTATATCAAGAAATTTTCTAATAAATAATACATCCTAACGAACAAATGACTAATTTCATTTAATCAAACAATTGACATACGAGATTTATCTATGACGATATTATATGAACGTGTTGAAAAGTTTTGAGCCTAACATAGAAACATTTTTTTTAATTACGATCAAATTCATTTTTAATTTGTCGTCATAGTTTTAGAACTTTTTAATCCACCCTTTGTCTAATAACAATGAACTAATTCAAAGAAAAATGAAAAAACAAATATATATTTTCTAATTATAATTAATTGTAATATTAAATAATAGGTGGTACAAGAGCGAGTATCAAAATAAAATTGTATTCTACATTTTCGATTTAGTTTTTCACGTAGAATCATCATCATCATCCCCTGTACCATCAATTACAGTAAACCCTGTATATTTAAGTACTTTTATTTTCCATACAATCAATAATAAATATACTGAATTAATTTATTCTATTAAATGATCTCTCAATAATGCTATTAAATAAAATGTTAATTATTTTGTTTTTTTTTTATTTATTCCATCTTTCGGGATTTATTTTTATAATCGATTATCGGCATTTATTGTATTGAGACTTGACACGTCAGTAGCTATATTAATTTTTGAACGAGGAATATTAATTATTCCTCTATTTAATGTATTTTCATTCTCATCGATTTCGTCGTTCGATTTCTTGTTCTGCATCTTTTCGAAGATTTTTTTCGAAGACATCATAACGGGAAATTTCTTACATTGTTCACAGGGCATACTGCATTCTTTTTTAAATTCTGATATCATACCAATGCAACGTACAAATTCGGCCGGACAATTTTGTATGGCGTCTTTCTGCCTCCTCACTGTCTATTTGAATTTAAAAACAAATTCGAAAGTTTTTGTATGTAAATTTGGAAAAATTAAATCTGTTATTATATATTCCAAATTTATATATTGTTGTTTATATATATATAATA